TCAGAATACGACGATGCACAAGCGATAAAGTAGTGAGTGGTTTTCGGAAATCATTTGTCACACACACACGAAAGATTTATGCAACCGCGAGACTAATGAGTGGTTTTAGCCAAAACATATTGAGCGATAAGACAACCAATACGGTGACATTTGTTGTACACAAAGGGGAATAAGCATAGGAATGAACAATACAAAACTCACTTTTAAGATATTATGTGATGTATTCAATAAAAGTGTTTTGATTCAAAGCTTTAAGCGACTGTTAGTCAAGGGGCTACACCTTCAGGTTTCATGACGCTTAATAAGGAGCCAGTATATTGGATCAATCGAATCCGGTCAGGTAAACCGTAGTTGGGGAAACTCGAATACCGATTGTTTAAAACATTATAAACCAATGATCTTATCTTTCACATAATATTAAATCCCTTTAATCTTTCCCAACCAACTAACCAATAAGTTCGGGGCATTTTTCTTACAACTCAGTACTGAGAAGTTCCGCCAGCTGTTTGTGAGTGGTGCTATTGTGATGGAAGGTGGTACACAGAGGGCCCCGGCTAGTGAACGAATCAAGAATGGGGCCCATCCAACCAGACGCGCAGACATAGCGGCTGGAAGTATTTCCAGAGACAATGTTGACTACCACCTGAAACGAACGAATCGACAAGTACAGCCCCATAGACAATCCGCAGCTAGCCGGAAAGATATACGCCGAATGCCACTACGTCGGAGCTGTCGATCGACGTATCTCTAGCTACGATCGGTTCAAACCAGTGGGAACGGCACGCGGAAGAAGAGGTGACGCACGTGTCAAATGCGGATGAAAACCAACAAGGATTGACCAACAGAAAGAGGCATGAATCATCCTGCCGCGCGGTAAGAATTGAACGTATATAATTGAACGCGTACACCGGTTGTGTTTTAATTGGATCAATAAACGTTTTCCTAGCCAGCTCGGATTCTCGCTACACTATTACGATTGTGATTAACGATCTGCAAGTATTCTGAGTAAGACAGTTTCAGTTTGCCTCTACAGGGAGATCCGGATTACTTTTGTTACCGGAACATCAACAGCTCTAGACAATTAATTTCCCAATCAGAAGACATTAATTGAATAATGGATGTGATTTCAACTTGCAGTTACAGATGAAAATGCACATGCACTTAGTGCATACGTGTGTTCCGAGAAACAAAAGCGGCATCCGTTCGCTTTGACATATGGCTTGTGGCTTGAATTCGAATGCAACAGGGAGACCGTAGTGGTTGGATGGTTCTCGAGTCCTTAGTGGTATATTTAAAAGTTACGCTTGAAATGTTATTACTCGATTCACAATACTTAAAATGGATTTAATCATACTTCATTCGCGCTGAGTCAAAGCAGATGAAAATAAACAACTGTCATATTGTTCAGGACCTACACAATTGCACTCTGGCGCTTTGAAACACATAGGTAGGCACAGTAACAGCTCCATCTGAGTCACATAATGTGTGCTACCTTTGAACTGAACTCACTAGATACGCGTAGTGCCACTCGGATAACTTGTTATACATCATTCAACGTGATGATTCATTTTGGTGGACTATTGACCCGATATTAAATTACGTTTCACAACTATCCGAGACCAAACGATAAAGTTCAAACCAAAATACAACAATGTTCATAACAAAGATGTGGTTTCATGATTCCCACTCGAATTCAGACGGAAAAACAGCTCGCCCCGAATAACCAGTAATTGTTAGCGTTTTATTTTAACCTACCTCATGTCGGCACATCTTTTCTGTAATGGGCGAAGGAGGAGCGAGTAGTGTGCGAAATCGTCAAAAGAACATGACCAACCGGAATACAGTGACAATATACGGAAATTATCTTCAGTTTACGTTTTACCACTGTTCTACACAACAATTTCAGCATTTTTATTCCAGTGTGACAGTGAACGCATTTCTTGGATGAAATATAGGCATCGATGATTGTACAAGTTATTGAAATGCCGCACAACGCACACGCTAACAAACTGTCCTACAAACTTGATCATCTCACTACTTATCACAATATATTGAATGAAAAACGCAGTTTAGCGAAAAAGCTTTTTTTCGGTGAATTACCATGATAGATTGGCTTCTCTTCTCAAGCCAGCTTAACCAAGCCATCCGGCATTCGAACTCTGCTCAGGTGAAATAATTCGCCTGTAAGATCTCTTACAGGTGCAATTCGATTGACATCTTTACTGGTTACATTCTGTGGTATTAATGAAAGTGGCCATCTGCACTATCGTCAAGCCCCACAATGCTCCTCTGATGTTCGCTGTTTTATGATGGACACTTAAAGTGGAATTTCGTATTTAAAAAAAATATAATAACAACCACGCCGAATTGAACTTGAGAAGTGACAACACTGAGTAATCTCATTTGAATCCTCTCCAGCAGTCACGGAGCTCCATGAATAATTGCATTGTTTGCGATAACTTTATGAAAGTAACAACTTCTTTGAAAGCAATGTGTATCAACATCATCGCCCAGCGAACTTCACTGATCGCTGGCAAACAAAGCAATATGGATGCACAATGAGAATTCTGCTTAGCCAATTCTGTTTGAAAACAAAATGCAAAAGAAAACACCTCAAGAACCCCGAGTTACGCTCACTGGCAACACACTTTTAAGCTTCAGTAGAATAAAGATCGGAATCTTGAAAGCAAAGTGAAAGTGAATATAGTGAATTTATGTAGACCGATGTTGCACGAATAACGCGTAGATGCACGAGCGTCACTGTTTGCGACACTGGCATGTCACTGTGCCTCTAACCACCGGCTGCCACGCTCCATCCAGAAATCCGAACGATATTTATGTGACCCAGCATATTGGTAAGGATTTTCATGAAAAGCACATAACAGCTGCATTGAAGGATTTATTGATAAGTGCCCAAGAAAACCGATGACTGGAATAAATTAACCCTAAATTAGGATATTCCAAGAAATGATGAAGCAGACTTGATTAAGAAAGCATACGAAGAAAGGATAAAATAGTCAAAGCAGAAAATGATATGTCTCTTTAATAAGGTCAATGTTCATGATGAGTGTTCTGAAATTTCCGCTTCGTGGCTGAAAAGGAATACGAAATGGAAAAGGTTAATGAGGCTCGTTATAATGAAACCATATTAGACAACACAGAAATCGTCAAACTGTGTAAAAAGATAATCTATTCATTATTTTTCCCCAGACTTGGGTATGTTGACAACTTTTTACATTTATTGAACTAAACGTGAAACACTACAGAGAAGGACGAGAAGCATAGTTTACAATGGCGAAAGTAAAACAGAATACATGAGTTGTTTAGGCACATATGCACCTACGCTGAATTTAGTGGAAAATGTTGTGATTTAATACCAACCATGGCAGGTGTGTTCAATCGCCTGATAGATCAATGCTATGGTCAGTCCATACAGTTATGATATTTGGTGCTAAAGTAGCCTTGACTAACAACGAAGACTGGTTGGAGTGTTTTGAAAACAAGCCGTGAATGAGAAACAGCAGCTTCCGCATTTGCAAGCCATTCCATTCCGTAGTTTGATAGCTATGGCATATAAATGTATCAGTTAGAACATGTGAACCACTAGAACGTTTAACCCTTTTAGCTAACACACCACGTGAACAGACTTCTTGTGTTATAACTGACGATATAGCTGATGCAGTAGGTTCTTCTTCTTACGCACAACCACTAACAATGGTAAACAGGTTGATATAAATTGTGATGCATTAGCCTGTATAAGAATCACCGCAAACGATCTTGTTCGCTACTGTGGGTTTTCTTACAATGTGTAAGAATGGCACATTCGGACAATATTGTGAAGAAGACAACGAACACAGTAACGAGTTGGTGATTTAGAAAGCAGTGCAGAGATCATAAACCTCATTAATCGGAATGCTTGTGTGCGTGTGCAAAGTTATACACTTCGTTACCTCGAGGAAAACATTATTTTGCTTCGTGCCGCGAATATTAATTGGTAACTGATTTGACGTTTCAAGTGGATCCTCGAAATCGACCGCGGGGTTGTCAACGACTTATTTGTAAACAGATATTACGAGGGAATCTGATAGTAATCAAGTTGGTCTTGATTCAAAAATAGAAACTTTCGCATACGGTGATGTTCTCAAACGAAGGAACACAAATAAAGAGCGTAAGATAAATGAGGTTTTCAGACTGAAAGATACTGTCATATTACGAATAGCTCTAACGCCCAGTGTTCCCAAGCGTACAGCAGACGGTCTCCAGGAACGAGCTCATTGCATCCTACATGATACCTCTTATTAAATACATATATTGTGTCAATAGGCAATCAATTCATTCAAACTTCATGTATATGTTTAGAAATCAGTAACTTATTTCGATCCTTTAGTAGGCGGCTTAGTCAGTGTTCGACAGTCAGGCCAACTGACAAATGAGAACTAGGAGAACGCTATTGACGTAGTGGTAACTTCAATCAATGACAGGATGAGTTTCAATGAACTTTAGCCTAACGGTTGAAAATGATGTGGCAAGACATTGTAACCATCGAATGAGACTTCATCTGTGCTTTTACTTGTATCTCTTCCCGACTACCGCTAAATGCATTCCAAACAGACAATCGGTTACTATAATCGGTGGCAATCAATAACAGGAAGGTGGTAAAAGGACGTGATCTGTGCTGCTGACGCTTAACAAGTTGAGTTGAGAAAATCTTGAAGACTGAATTGGTTAGAGCGCCGACTAAACAACTCTTATCTACCAGTCCGAATCCTGGATATCCACCACTGTCGATTCCTAATAAGGATGGAGTAGCTTTGCTTTCAAGGCTCTTCAGTGATAAACACAATGACTCTGAATGACAGAGAGTCAACTTTATTAATTTTAATAGGAAAAAATTATGGCAACAGAAAATAATTCGATTCAGTCCGACAAGCATCAACCAAAACCGTCAGAATTATTGATATAACAGAGTGAAAAGCAAAGCAACGAACCTGACGGCAGGCTCATTCTTCAGCTACAGTGACGTGACCCATGAACAACGGGTACTTCTTGTCCACAATTACAGCCACCACAAATGCATGGTTCGCGTTGAACACGATAGGCCTAAGTAAAGATCGATTGGCGATTCCGACGCCCGTAGCACCGGTAGCGACAGCACCTGCCTCGTTAACCTGACAAGAATTATGATGCCGAAGTGAAATGGATCATGAACGTCGGAAACTGAAACAAACATACGTCATAAGTGAAACATGAAAAGCATTTTCTTCTCACAAGCGTTTAGCCAATATAGCTACTGTTGTAACTCATTTTGGTTTCAGAAACCGAATTAACGTACTTGTACCGCATTACTCCATCATCAGCAGCAGCAGCCGAAATGGAGTTAACTGAAAGATGCGAATTTTAAACCAATTAAGAGGTATAAGGTGATTCCAGGGTATTTTACATGCACCTATTGTAAATCCTACTGGACGGCAGAAAGTAATGGGACTGAGAACTACTGTTTAGATCTACTGACTAGACGCTGGAAGCCAAATGGGAACTTACTGTCTTGTATGTCAATCTTTAGTAGAGACTCGGATCAACACACCAATTTAATCGTTAAGTCTGCATTGCACATTTCAGGAACTCACTATAACTTTCGCAATTTTATTTACTCTTTCAATGTTGGTAGATCAATGGACAGCAAAATACACATGGCATAAATTTGTAAAAGTCTGATTAGTGCTCAACGGTTAATATCCGGTGGAAAACATACCTCTAACACCGCCTGATGGACAACGTCAGAAACGAAAAGTGGGTCGTCTGAAATTTTCCTCAGATCTGCGTTTTCGAAGAGATGGGTGACACCCATGCTTTTCAGTGTGTTTTTCAGGTTTAAGCTTCGAAGCATTGACAACTTGAAGCGAGGAATCATCACATGTGCCATCTGATCGTAGAAAGGTGACTCCAAAACCTTTTCTAACTCTCCCGGTTTCGTGATCGCCTCAACAAAAGCGGGAAATTCTTCATTGCTCTTGGGCAGCATCATCAGAAGTTCAAATCTGAAACAAAAAGAAATTGGCAATGAAGAAAATGGAAACCACTCAACTCCTGTAGCACTAATTACTTCAATGTGACTCAGTAAGAGACGAGAGCTGCCTTACTCTAAACGGACGTTCAACCTGTCGACTCGAGAAATCGTTCAAACTTACATACATTTTCTTTTGAGTGATCTATCACCACTACGGAACGAAAAGACGAAACGAGTATATTCAAATCCACCACGGAGTGTTGGGTGAACAACCCGGCAATATCGCGTCTGTGATTTACCTTTTGTGAGTATTGGGCAGTGAACGATTGAACCTAGTCAAAACCTCAACAAACATGAAATATAATATAGCATAATGAAGAAACGAATGGCATAAGAACAGCGGCACCGATTACAAAAACCAACACCAATTTCTGGATACTCTGAGGGTCGAGGCGATTAGTCCCTGCTTTCATATAGCATATGTAGCGAGCAATGAGAGAGATTGAAACCAATGAATACATGACGCATACAAATATTCCAGCAAAAATCCTTGTTCAACCGCTTTGATGCAAGCGAATAAAAATTATGATTAAATACGTTACCTGGGGTCTTTAAACGGCAATTTCAGGGCCATCGCATCATTAACAATAAACTCCTCGATGAACATTTGTCCTTGACGTTTCATCATTTTCACCGGTCGAGTACCGCCACCCAGCACGTGAAACTCACTGTCAAAAGTGACACTGGGGTTGAATGGTATTTCCCAAGCGCCTAAGTATTATTCAAAAATTGCATCAAATCTCACCTTTGAAAAACACCGCGTTTCCAAGAACCAGTCTAGTATCTTGATCAATGGTACCTTGGGGGAACAGTTCCTTTATTCTCTGGTGCGTAGCGTTCGATGCCCAATGATTTATTTCACCTCGAGCAGCCTCATGGTTGTGTCTAAAGTCGACCTTTGAATGAAGAAATTTAATGGGAAATAAACAGCTATGGAGATAAATCGAAGTTAAAATCTGCGACATGTAAAAGATTAGATACTCTAAAAGCGTTCACCATTCACTCTGATGACTAAACTGTCGCTATTCCGGATGCATAAACTGTTTTATATTTGAAACATTTGGATCCCGTTATTAATTTGAACAGGCAAGTCAGAAGACAAACACTGCGAGAGGAATTCCTTTCGTTTACTCTCATCGGTCGCGTGTGTATAACATTGAAAAAAGTAGACAAATGAAGTGAATTAAGAAATCTAGTTATTATTAACCATGTGTGCGTGCTTGTGTGATGCACATGATTGGTTACAAGCAGGAAAGGCCAAGGGCAAAGGTCATACGTTTTTGGACGCACAGTGTGGGTTTGTTGTGAGCGATCGATGCCTCGAGTATCCTTAGAAACACCGTGCATGATATTAAGGATAGTAAATGGCATGCCCTAACCAAGTGCCATCCTAGTAGTTGGTTTATCACGCTTCATCGACTGGTCTGATTGTCATGATTTGCGTTCAAATGTTTTCAAGTGCTTCTATGTTCGGTTGTCTCTTAGCAAAAGTTGTGTCGATCACAACTTCACTCTTCGCCAAATTCTGGAGCACCGATATTCTTCTCGTAGACCCACCATTTCCGTCATCCTCGATTTGGAAGCGGCCTTCGACTCAGTCGACCGCTCTAAACTCTGGCGCTTCTTTTCACTGCATGGTGTGCCAGAGAAGTTTATTTCAAAATTATGATTACTTTATACTAACAGTCGAAGACGAGCTCACGGCACTTCTTCGCCCGAATTCACCACAGAAAGCAAAGTTCGTCAGGGTTTCTCATTCGTCTTTTCCATCTAACTTTGTTATAGATTTGATTATAGAAGCAGTTTCAGTTTGAACAACCATTAACCATACACTTTCGTGCGCCGGGTTCGGTTGCTGTCCTTTGGCCGCCCATTTGGATGAACAGTAGAAAGAAAAATGATTCAGCGAATATAATTCTCTATCGACATCGGTGTTATTAACACCACAATATGCACAAAGAAAGATAAGTTGAAAATAAAGTCAAACAGAAAATGGGGACTTTCAGTGGACTAATTTTACAAAGAAACTGAGAAGATACATGAGCACCATTGTTTACGATACTCAGCCATACCAGTCAGTGTCTCCAACCATCGAATATGGTCATCCTGAGGTCGCCAGCCAGGGAGCCTATGTGACCCAGTCTCCTGGTTGGAGTTTTCATACCCTCGTGCCAGGTCTTGGCTTGATCATCCTTAACTTCTTTCCACCCGGTGAACATCACTCACTGTGGCGACCTATTTGATGACATGCGTTACGCGGGTGGTAGTTGTCCAATAAAGTGCGATGACTTCTCCCACTATCGAGAGGAAAACCCAGACATCCCGCACCTACGTCCACCTAGCGTGTTTTTTTTTACCGACAAACTGCCCCTCACCGTGTTTATTTGCTGGAGCCACCTCTCCGGGGCGGGTGTGCATAGACGAACGAAGTCAGGTGTCCAAGCAGCTGGCTTTATAGAAACAGCTCAAACACGTGCAAGATCCCAAGTGGTAGACTGTGCGCTCCAGAACAGACTCCCCTCCTAAGCAACTTATTCTTTCTATCCGTCGATTCCGACATACTCCCAACCTCATGGAAAATATCACAAATATTGCTCAGCTCCAAACGCGGTGACCACTCAGACCCAAACAACTACCGTCCCATATCTGTCACGTCAGTTATTTTGAATCAGTCAATGCTGATCAACCAGATTTTTGAAACCAAAAAATCCTTTTCACTTAGCCACATTTAATGTCCGCATTCTCTATCAGATCGGTCAACAAGCTGCCTTAGCTAGAACCCTTGAAACTTAACTTGGATGTATGCTGTGTCACCAAAGCACTCATATAAGACCCTACTTCAACCATCACCTTGCGATCTCCAGATGAAGCTTCAACCTGACGGTTCACTCTCCGTGTGTCAGGTGATTCGGCGCCTGAAGCTCGCGGTGGTGCTGGTGTCGGGATTGTGCTGAGTATCAAGGCCGAGAGTTTACTTTTCGACGGGATCCCGGTTAGTAGCCCACTGAGATGTACGTCTGGATGGTTCAGTGCGGATCAACAACTACAGAAAGAGGCGTCGATGCTTATTCGACGTATCTGTGTATGCACCGACCGATTGCNGATTGCAGTACACCTGAAATCAGAGATGAGTTCTACAGGTACCTCTCTCAATTACTCCAAAGTGTCCCATCAACGGACGTCGTAGTAGTCACTGGAGATTTCAATGCTCAAGTGGGATCCCTGGACGAATCTGAAAGACTTCTTGGCGGACCACATGCAACCAGCCAACCGGACTGACAACGGAGAACGCCTGCACCAACTTGGCGCTGACCACGGACTGTTCTCGTCAAGCACGAACTTCTCGCACAATAAACGATACCGCCTCACATGGAGACCGCCCACCTCTTCACAGCGCTGACCCTAAATCGACGACATCGTCATCAGTCGCCGCTGGAGGTCGATTCAAGGCTGCGGTTCTTACGGGTCAACAAGTGTGGATACAGACCACGCCTTATTACGAGCCCCATTCTCCCTACGCCTAGCAAACAACCGCAAAAAAGCCACCTACAACGGATACCCACGGTACCATGTCAGTGGTTGTTGCACATAGGAGTTCAAAGCGGAATTCTTCGATAGTCCCTCAGTTCGTCCACCAATCGAAGGACTCAATGAACACTGGAAGCAAATCAAGGAAGCTAAGCAAATATCAATGGAGGCATCGTCGGACCCTGGCGCAAGTTCAAAACACACCATGGATCTCGTCGACCTCAGTTGCTTCGCTGGACGCTCGCAGAACCCTCCCTCCTGATGCCACATATGACACAGTGCGCAAATCCCTCAAACGCCAGCTCACCAAGAGTCTGAGGAATGACCGCGAGAAGTAGGAAAGTGTAAAGAGACGGAGAAAGCTATCGCTATAGGTGATAGTCAAAATATTTTCCGTTTAATTAGGAATACGGGGCCCAGGAAAATAGGCGTACGTGAGGTAATTAAGGAATCCGATGGTACACTGATTCACGATCAGCAACGCCGTCTTGATCGGTGGGCTGAACACTTCGAGGCTCAGTTCAACTGGCCCCCATAAACATATGACCTATCACCCACTACCTCGACTGGGTAAATACTCCCAGTTGATGCCAGCCCATCTGAAATGCAGATTTCCCGGGAAATAAGTTATCTAAAAAGGTAGAAGGCCTCCGGCCCAGATGGACTTTTAAAAATGGTGTTTGAGGATGGAGGCTCGGCGTTAGCCATTGAGTTGACGGAACACCTGGGATAAACATGGGACCTGTAGTTCTGTGCTGAGCCACGCCAGTGGGAGCTTACTGCCATCTGCCCGATTTGAGTTAGAGCACCAGATTAAGTGTCACGTTTCTGTCAGTCGAGAGCTGTAGAAAGTTGGTGCTGGATACGCGATTAGCGCAGAACTGAAGTCTATTGCTGTTATCTGCTCGTTAGCAGGGCAGAGAATAACTACCGCCGACGTAAGCTTTCGATGCACTCAGTTTTCCAACTTGCACGTTAAAATCACCTGCAAGTACAATAATCTCGCAACCGAATGAGTATTTTCCCCAGGCAGCCTTTGTATGGCCGCAGCCCTCTTCCTGAAAGTGGATGTACATTTGTATATTCAATAAATAGAAATAGGAAGTAAAAAAGACATTTTTTCGGTGGGCTTATCATAGAACTCGTCTTTTCGTCAATCTATACATACGCTGAAATGATCAACAAACACCTTTTTGTGCTACCTCCCATTCGGACGCTGACAGAACATTGGAACCGCATAGTACATAAGTGAATGTTCATAGGGATCCAATTGATTAGTGGCGCTTTGGCTGTATTGAGTACATCTATACCATGCTGGCCTACTGAACGGGCTTCGTCGAGCGGAGGAAGTGCCTCGAAGACAACTCCGGTGCACTTAAGTGGCTTATAGAACTAGGATCATGGATTCGTGTCTCCGATACGCTGCAGACATGAATCCTGAAAGAGTCTACTGTACACTAAAGACAAGCTTGTTGACCCACCTGCATCAGCCCTCAAGTTGAAGGCCCCTGGATTGACAGATTGACGATGCTTCGGAATCTGCAACGTATTTCATGGAAAGCTCATTATAGCACCACTAGGCAACAAACTATGGCGAGTGACGAACAAGTTGTCTGGAGCGATATTACGGTCCGGAAGGAGTAAATGAAGAGGGCTGGATACGGAAGACAAAGGGTTACACGAAGTTTGCGCGACGACCGATACAGTATGGAGTTATTCATAGTTCGTGTGCATTAGAAGTTGATGGATGGTTACTGCTAGAGTGTCCAGCAACTAAGCAGGAGAACGATTAGGGATATCGTCCAAAGCCTTAAGTTCTACCAAGAACATGACAGCAAGGCAGTGGGTAAAGCGGAGTAAACGCCCATTTACTTGGATTGATCACTCCTCTACTATTTTACCAACTGAGACTAATTAGATTCGAACCCCGACCTGAAGGACAGTCAGTCATCGTACAGCGAAATACAGTAAAGCGAACTTCGCTGATCGCTGCCAAACTCGCAATGCATACAAGGTTAGTGGTAAAATTTAGGGTGGACAGGGATTGGATCTATTTTGAGGAGGGAGAAGATGATGAGCCACTATGGTCAACACAGAGTACGCAATCGAACTCTGCATACATACCGTTTGAAGCATTCTGATCTGATAAGAAACGACAACAAGAACGCCACTACTGCCGGTTCGCTGCCATATCCTTCAATGTCTCCAACGAACCAGTTGTGGATTCTTTCGGACTCCAACCTGGAGGGCGAGAGACACCTACTCTACCTAATGGCTCTGTGCATTTCTTCATGTCTCGTCTCCACGTCATCTGTTGACCTCCACGTGGTTTCCTCCTGCCCGGATTAGCCACAGCAAATGAAGCGCGGTGCGGCAGACGATGGCTGGGCATGCGCAATACGTGCCCTAGCCAGCGAAGCATAGTAATCTGAATTCGGTGTACTTGCAG